ATTAACTTTTTGGGCTGGGGCGATTGAAAAAGAATCTCTCATCCCTGGCAGATCTCGAAATCGGAATGTACGCTGAATTCGTTGTACATTCGTTACACATTGGTTAAACATTTAGTTGGAGTGAAAATTGTGTAGAAACTGAGTGGAAAAGTGTAATTGAATTGAATAATAAAAGTATTTAGTGATAGATTTGTTCTGTATTTGTGATAAATTAACGTGTTATTATTAAATAAATAAAGTTTAAAGTGTAAAATGTTCGCGTAAGTGAGTTTGACAGGCTAGGGAATTTTCTAGTGACATCCAAATTGATAGTCGATAAAGAAGTTGAGCCGCCGACTTTGCACGGTAGGTGGCAGCATTCATACTTTCGCCTTTTTAAAAATTCTCTTTTTCAATTGTAAATAGAAAAATTAATTAATTAATAAGTTATATAGTTTCTATGTTGTCATTTTTTTAACAATCGAATTTTTGAAGATTGTTTAATGAGATAAATTAAACTTGTATAATCGATGCAAATTATTGTTTATTAATTAAATTCAATTAAATTAATTTAATCATAATTTTAATAAAGAAAATTTTTTTTATCTTTCTTTATTTTATTATTATTTATTTTTAATATAAATGTAATTGAAAGAAAAAATTTATTTAAATGTATTTTAAAAACAACAATTTGCATCGATTATACAAGTTTAATTTATCTCATTAAACAATCTTCAAAAATTCAATTTTTAAAAAAAATGACAACATAGAAACTATATAACTTATTAATTAATTAGTTTTTCTATTTACAATTGAAAAAGAGAATTTTTAAAAAGGAGAAAGTATGAATGCTGCCACCTACCGTGCAAAGTCGGCGGCTCAACTTCTTTATCGACTATCAATTTGGATGTCACTAGAAAATTCCCTAGCCTGTCAAACTCACTTACGCGAACATTTTACACTTTAAACTTTATATATTTATAATAACACGTTAATTTATCACAAGTACAGCACAAATCTATCACTAAATACTTTTATTATTCAATTCAATTACACTTTTCCACTCAGTTTCTACACAATTTTCACTCCAACTAAATGTTTAACCAATGTGTAACGAATGTACAACGAATTCAGCGTACATTCCGATTTCGAGATCTGCCAGGGATATTAATATCTTAAATCTGACCAAAGGATTTTGAAAAATACCCCCAAAAAAAAATTTTTATCGTCTTTTTTCCAAAAATTTTTTTTTAATCGAAAAAATTTTTAAATAGAAAAATTTAATGTTATATATAATAAAATCGTATTCCTTACATCAAGACGAATCGATCGATGTATATAAAGTATACATTTGAGGTAAATTTAAAGAATTAATGAAAGTTAAAAAATCAAAAATTCACATTTTGGCTATAAAATTTTGTGATTTTTTAAGGGGTTATGCCACTCTAGGATTTTCAAAAAATCGCTTTTTTTTGCTTTAAATAGTTCCTTAGGGTCTCAGAAATAACATATTGCAGGATTATGGCTCGGAAAAATCTCTAAATAATTAATTTTCGAAGTTCCTTGCAAGGCTGCACGGTACGCGGCGAGCTCCTTTTGTCAGTTCTACGGGGGATGATCTTTGAAGGATCTACAGCAGGTATACGGCAGATGTTTTCAAAGGCGCTAGTTACTTGCTAGACTATAGTCTATTCTACACAATTGCAGGCATTGCAGATTAAAGGTATTGTGAAATTATTTAAGTTTTTTACAACTTTAAACGCGTTTATCTCCAAACTACATTTTTCGAGTTGGCCGAACCAACAACTCGTACAATTTCCAACCGATTAGGTTCAAATTTGACACACATCTTTAAAAATACATTTTTTAAGGTATCAGGTAGGATTTTTTTTATTCTATATAGTTCATTTGTTATTAACTATTAACTGATGGTTTTTTAGTCGAAATTAGAAAGTTTAACTTTAGAAGTGCGCCATTTGATCATGAATCAATATATCGAAAAAATCCTACGTGTTACTTTAGTTATTGTAATATATAATAAAAAAAAATTTAGATACTCAAGATATTCCAAAATTTACAGGAGCAGTTAGTTCGGCCACGTACCCCTTGAACCATAGAGGAGTCGAAGGACGACCGCTACAGCGCCACCATTCTTCAAGAAATATTTATAAGAAATTATTTTTTTACACCTAAAAAGATGTATAATAAACTTCTTATATTATATTTTTAATCTACTTTATGGTTTTTCTAAAAAAAATTCACATAAAACACCTATTTGTTCGGTCTCTAGAGTGGCATAACCCCTTAAATTGAAGTTTATATATGAAATAATTGTATTCCTTACGTCAAGACGAATCAATCGATATATATAAAGTATACATTTGAGGTAAATTTAAAGAATTAATGAAAGTTAAAAAATCAAAATCACATTTTGTCAATAAAATTTTGCTTTTTCCACGAGGAAGCAAATTTTTTTTGCTGATCGTAAAGAGGAAGCAAAATGTTCATGTAATGAACATCTGAATTCACAACTTGTTATCTAATATTTTTATGTCATAATAATTTATTATGAATATTATCATTATTATTATTATTATTATTATATATTAAACTATATTTAATATAAGAAAATGCTGATTTGTAAAATAAATATAATTTATTATCGTGAAAGAACAATTTGTAATTGAAAATATAATATATAATTATATCCTATATAATTATAAACATTTAAATATTTAACAATATATATATTTTTTTAATTTGAAAATAGGATTTCAAATTATATTATGTACTAGACATTTTTGATGCCTTCTTCTTTTGGACATATATTTTTTCTTTAGCATTAACAACATGTTTCGCATATTGGCGCATTCTGTGCTCCAAGTAAAATTGAATTGTGTAGGCATAAATGTCTGCAGCAATTTCTGAACACGGATGTTCCAATTGTTCCTCGGTTACTTCGTTTAACATCAACTCAAAAACATTTCTTTAAGTACAATGTTTAAGAAATGAAGCCTCAATTTTTTTTAAAAAGTTAAAAAGACGCCGATTTGGATGCTTAATTCCATTGTCACTTTCTACTTCATGGTTGAGTGTGACTATTTTAGCTAAAGGATAATTTTCAACGAGAATGGATTGTTCTTCGGAATAAAAAAATACAGTGCGACAAATTTCGCATTTTGAATACTCCATTATATTTTTGCATACTTTTCCAGTAGCGAAATAAATAAGGCACTCGATAATAGGAGGCAAATCATAATCGTGGTCGATCGTGTTTGTGAAATCTGTAAAAACACCATTTTCTTCGTTAATTACAACATTTCATTTTCCTTTGATTTCGTCCAAAAGCACATTATTTTTTGACTTCGAATTAAAAATTTCTTGTAGCTTTTTAATAGAAATTAATAGTTTGTTATTGATATTTGCGACAGAACAATTTCCGAAATTTGGTGGTTTTAGAACCCCAAATAAAGATAAGATTTTGTAAATTTGGAGAAATGTTGGTGTAGCTGGATGGTCGTTCGTTCCTCCCGCGAGTCGAACAGTCCCAAAAAATCTCTAAAAAGTACAGGATATTTCAAAAACGGATTCTGGGAATTGTTGAATTAAATTGATTTTGAAAGTTTTGAGTCAAAAATTAATGTAAGCACGATTTATTTTTTCAAAAATTTTTCCTAAAATTTCTTAGACTATTGAAGAAATAAGTTCATTAAAATATTTACAATTATAATTAATATTAATTCGTTATAAAAATTGTATAGTGAGGTAACATATAGTAGAAATGTGTACAATGGATAAATAAATGATTATAATACTTATTAATTCGTTGTACAAAAATAATTTAAATTAGTAAAAATCAAAAACTTCATCTTATTTCGTACATCTATTCTAATTACTCTATATTTTCAAGACAATTTTTTGTCTATAAAAAGTCTACAGGCCTCGGATTTTTAATCATTTTTGAAAATTTATTTTTGAGGTAGATTTCTATTTACAATTTTTGTGAGTTCAAATCTTAAAACTTAAATTAAAAAATGTATTAAATAGTTAAATTTATTAGGAATTAAAAAATCGACTTTTTCGACCTTTTTTGTTCCTAAAAGTGTACCCGAGGTCTGTATTTATAAGCTAATTAAATTTTTTAAAAATTAAATCGACTGTTTTATAATATAAATCGAATAAAATGACATTTTTCGGATTTTTAAGTAGTCTACTGAAGGTACCTCCAGAGAATCCTGATTTATTCGTCCGGTGAAAATGACATCTAATTTCAAAACTTGGAGTAAATAATTAGCTATGTCGATTGTCGACTGCAAGGTCATTCTCAGTCCTTCTGCAGTTTGGTACTTTAAAAAATTATCAGTTTTCAATGACCCATCTTTGACCCTCATCTCCCAAGCGTTTAACCACTCCAATCTGTCAGATAATACCTAAAATAGATGTAATTTTTAAAGTTAAAAACTTATATTTTTTAAAGAAACATTCTATGATTTAATATTAAAACCTTTATATCAGCAGAATTAAGCTTTAGTCCTGTATGACTTTTTTTTCCATGTCCTGTTTAAAGCATCGAACATGTCATTTATTCACTCACAAAAATTTGCCGTAGTTTCGCAGTCTTTGAGTCTTTCTTCATAGTCTCTATAGTACCTTAAACCTCGAGCAACTGAATTACTTCAGATCTAGAAAAATTATCAGTTAGTATTAACAATAACAATCATATTGAGTGACTACTTTATTTTTTTAATTGAGATTTTACAATTTGAAATTGGTATCAAAAAATAATCATTTTGTTTGATATTGTTTCAGAGAAAATATTCAAAAACTTTTTCTAATTATGTTATTATTATTTATGTTTTTCTTTATTTGAATTATAAATATCAGTTTTTTACATAACAAAAATCGAAATAAGGTTTATTTTATGAAAGAAGTTAATAATTATTAATAACACTTACTTGAACAGCGTAACTCACTCTCATCTACAAAAAGCTTTTCTTCTTTATATTTATATGATGGTCTGTGATCTTCTGGTATATTCTCAAAGATGGAGGTTGAAATTTGTCTAATTCATGTAAGATTTGAAAATATTCCTACTTTATAGCACTCTCGTCTGGATTAATCTGTAATTGATTTAATTATTACCATACTGAACTGAAAAAGCTGTCATTAAATTTGAAAAATAATTTATTATAATACCTTCAATTCTCCGGAATTTGCCAAGCGATTCCGAATGCATTTGATTAAGTGAGGAGTGTCCCAGAACAGAAAGACTTCAATTTGCATTTAAAGGATGTTGGAAAGAGTTTTTAAAGTTGTTCAATTTTCCACTACATCCTAGTTCTGTCCACATTTTTCTATTAGGTGCACAACCGTCAGAAACATTGCCATGTATTTTTGCACCAGCACTTTCCAATAGAGATATTGCCTGTAGGACTATTTTTGCTAAATCCTTTCCGCAAGTAGGTTCACTAGATGCAAATACTGCAACTGGTTGGGAATAATCTTCGTATAAGTATTGGAATACGAGTGCTAGTCCATGATCGGACAATTTTATGTCCGAATCTTTTGGAACATCTTCTCCAAGATCGTGAACTCCTTTATAATGCATAGTTTGTTTATCTAGGAGCAAACCCTTCCTGATAGACATTTCATCTAATAAAAGAACACCGTGAAGCTCTGTTTCGGACTTTTTTGAAAAATGTTCCTTTAAAAGATCAAAGAATTTTGGATCGAATCCGCAAGAACAGTCAATTTGAGCCATATGCCTGCAAAATAAATTTTTTATATTGAAAAAATTAAAATTATAGCTTATAACATTTAACATTATTTTTATTAAATTATATTGTAAATAAATATTTTGTATTAATTTTTACTTTCTAATAGTTTGTTCATGAGGAAGAGGCAATATTTTCAAATCCCTGATCATCCGGTATGTAGCTGGTGAACGCGTCTGTATCAGGAGGCGTAAAATTATCCAATCGTCAGAATATCTTCTGCCTCTTGGATCTTTGATCTTCGATGCTTTCAAATTTTCTTGGACAGTTATTTTCTCATTTTCACTTAAATTCTTATTATTCATTAAAGTTAAAAAAGAATGTTCCGTCATATCCTCCATCTTAACTTGACATTTCCTCACAGTTGTTTTTAAAAGACGTTTTTTAGTTGTGTTCGCTGCTTTGCTCTACCTTCAGATGATTTTAGCTTCTTTAATTTTAGAATTTCTGCTTTTCTCCGAGGACTTAAATTTTCTAGTTTTAAGTAATTATTTGCTTTACTACATCTTTGCCTACGGATAATCTTCTTATTCAACAAATGTTTAACAGATTTGCAGCATTTGCAGGCTTTATTATCTTTGATGCATTCAGACGCCAACAAGAAAGAACATTGATTGTATCGCAGATTGTTAAATTTATCAATATAGGTAAAAGATTGCAACAAGTGTCCGTTTTCGGAGGTTTGTCTAATATCTTGAGCTAATAATATTCTCATCGTCGTCTTCGATTATGCTACGCTTCCTAGAGCTTCTATTTATTTGCGATTTCTCTAGCTTTCCCACTAGTAGAGCAGGTAAAGCACCCTTCCGAAGCATGGGTTTTTTATAGGTGCTCAGAAAACAGTTTTTTTATTATAAATAATTAAAATAAAGTGTAAAATATACTCTCTAAATCTGAAGGAGTTAAAAATTCAAGCCTCGAATCGCCTTTCACATTAAAAATTACGTACTTTCCGTGCTAAAAAACAAAAAATAGTGATCAATTTACGTACCACAATGTTTAACTTTTATTATTCCAAGTGTTATTTATAATATATAAATGAAATAGTACACTAAAAACAAAGGCATGAACTTTAATCATTATATATTTTAAATAATTTAGTCAATATTTTTAAAACTGAATTAACAGTTTTTTAATTACACATTTTTATCATAATAGATAATAATTACAAAAAAAATTATAATATTTACTGTTTGAATCAGAGACTGACTTTTTGTTATCTAATATTATTTATTTTTAACTTATTCAGATTTAAAGAGTAAATTTTTAATTTTTTTAACGTTTTTAAATATACTCTATATAGCAGTAAACAAAAAGTAAATATAGTATAAATGGCATATTTAATCATTTTGTAAATTAACTCGATTAACACTTACCATTCCCATCACTGTAATGCCATCAGGTCCATATAATAATCTTTCTCGAAGGATGTCTTCAGGATGGACATACTTCTTACATACCGCTTTACCGCCTTTCAGTTTAATATCGTCACGCAAAATAGCTATTTGCCATTGTTTTATAATCTTTTTATCTTTAGGAACCGTAAAAAATGAGTTTTTTCAAAGCAACTCGCATATCTGGATTTGCATCCTACACAAACACACTTGTACACCATATTAAATTAATAAACAAATCACTTATAAACTTTTGTTTTTAATGCATTCTGTGCATCTGTCAAACACATCGGCCTAGAAGACACTCAGCGCCACCACAGTCGCTTTAGTCATAATTGCTGACACTTTTAACTTGGGAGAACCTACGGGGTGGCCTATAATAATGACTGAGAATTGATAAATAAGTTTTATTTACCCCTAGTGTACGGATTGGGGAGCGTCATGATATTTTTTGATTATTGGAATAATTTCGCTTTCTTTTAATATTTTCTTCCAGGCGTTGTTATCGCCTATGCTTTCTTTTAAATGATTAGGTTTATGGTAATACAAGGTATTATTCGCGTCGAGCTCATATAGTTCATAACGCGTAGGGGAAACCCGTACGCGTTCTATCATCTTTTCATACCATGTGTGGCTGCTCGTAAGTAGTAATAGATCTGGTAGCTTTTCTTCAGAGGCGGTCTCGTAAAGACGGGAGAGAGTGTCGGCTGCCTCATTGGTCGTTCCTTTACGATGCTCAATTTTGTCACGGTTTGCGGACAACTCTAATGCCCATCACGCAAGTCTTCCTCGCGGATCTTTTATCCTTTGTAACCAAACCAAACTTGAGTGATCGGTGATAACCGTAAACTCAGTGGCTTCGAGATAATAGCGGAGCTTCTTCAGTGCGAAGATTACTGCTAAGCATTCCTTCTCGGCGGTGGTGTAATTCGACTCCGAACATCGCAAGGGTCTGCTTATGCATGTAATTAAATATTCGCGTTCTTCGTCTTTTTGCGTAAGAATCGCGCCTATGCCGGTATCGCTCGCGTCCGTATATAAAAAGAAAGGTAAATTGGGACGTGGCGCATTTAAGGTTAAGGCATCTTTCAAAGATTCTTTAACATTTTGGAACGCGACCTCGTGTACTTCAGTCCATTCCCACGGTACTTTGGGACTCGCTAATTTATTTAGCGGTCCTTGCATTCGAGCGATATTCTTCAAGTGACGATGGTCCCAATTTAGGGAACCGTTGAATTGACGTAATTCTTTGCGGTTACGGGGAGTAGGACGTTCCAGAATTGGTTCTACTCGTTTGGGGTTTCGTTTGATACCATCTTTATCGAGGAGGAAGCCAAAGTACTTGACCGAAGATTTAGCGAAGTAAGACTTCTCTCGGTTGATTGACAAGCCAGCCTCATGTAGTATATCGCATACGATATCTAACAATAAGATATGTTCTTCGAACGTTCTGGAAATTATTATCCAGTCGTCTAGATACGCGTGAACTTGGTCTATATAACGTTCACGTAATTTAGTATTTCGTATATATGCATAAAATATGCATAAAAACTTGAAAATCAAAGTCAAACATTTTCAGTATTTTATCTCGCATTTCAAAGAAAAAAGACTTAAAAATCATACAAAATTTTTTTCTTATTCTTTAAGACTCCCATACCAGAAATTGATTTGAATTTTTCAGTTTCATGCGTTTAAAGCTTATCTAAATTTTTTTTGCTGCATAAAATTAATCCTGGGAACGTACATAAGAACTTTAAAAAAATAAACCAGCATATATTACCTTTTAAAGGAAGAAACTTATGTAATTTATGAAAAATAAGGCTTTTGTCCCCATTTACCCCAGCTAATCCTAGTAATTATTTAATAAAGAATGTTAAAATTTGATCAAAATAGAAATTACTGGATTTTCAGCAATTTTTTTGCGATTAAAACGCAAAATTTTAAAAAATGTTTTAGACAAAAGTTATTGATTTCAAAAAACACACATTTTATCTCGTATATATTTTTTACCAAAAGTGATAATTTTTATATGTTAGTTATGGTTTTTTGGATTTTTCTCAAAAAATTATCATTTTTAGTAAAAAATGTATACAAGATAAAATGTCTGTTTTTTTGAGATCTACAACTTTTGTCTAAAACATGTTTCGAAATTTTGCGTTTTTACGAGTTGATCGGAAAAAACAATGATTTTATGGTGTTTTTTTTCCTCTGGTCGAGCCCGTTATGGCGCTCTAAGTGCGGTTGAGAGCTATGATGGTCGAGGGTTCGCGTCTCAGAGTGAACAAGTCGGAAGAATTTTTTTTATTTATATTATTGACGTCAAATAAAAACAAAATGTAACGAAATTAATTTTATTATAATAATTTAAGATAAATTTCTATTTTTTGTAACATAGATCTATATTTGTTACATATGTGTAACTGGGAACTCATTTATAAATGCTCTTTTAAAACTTAATAATTTATTGAATTATAATTTACATTAAAAAATTGTTTAATAAACAAAATTAAATTTTTAAAATAAATATCCGTCGGATCCGACGCTGAAAACGGTCCCAAATCCCGGCTACGGATCCGGTGTCGTTGTCTATTTTTATAAAGTCGGCTCTACAATCTATGGTACGCAACGCGAACCCGACGTGCTGACGTCATCCATTTGATTAACATTGTGACGTCAGCACGTCGCGTTCACGTACATTGTAGAACCGACTTAATAGTAGTAATAGTGTTCTGCTTTTGTGACGGTAAGGGCAATGCGGGCCCTTTGCGTACGGTGCGCTGGAGTTTCCCATCTGCCGCTAATAGGCCGAATCCTGGTTTTGTCAAGGGAACGACGTAAGCGAGGATATTCTCGGTCCTACCGATCGCGATGATTCGGTGGAGGGGAGTTCCTCGCCAGAGCCTACGTACTCCGTCTCGGAAACAGTACATAATGCGTAGTTATACTCGCTTTCAGAATCACTGGTGTGATATCCAAATGCATGTGCTTGATTAAGCACAGATGCATTTTTTGGAATACACGTTGATTTTATCGCGAGATAACTGCAACTCGGAAATGACTGATCATTAAAATTAATATTTGTCGTATTGTCCATTTTATTTAGATTTTTATTCAAGTAAACCGGTGGACTGCCAGAGAGATTTAATCTCGCCTGGCATCCGTGTCGTTTTTTGATGCGGGCGCGTTAGGTTGGTTATAATTTCCCTGCCACGGTGACATGTAAGGTGGTGCCGGCGTGTGAGGTATCGGTGAAGGAGGGGCATGCGATGCATGAACGCCGCATTGGCGGTTATTATTTTTGTGATAACCGCCACGCGAGTTAGTCTTACTCTCTTTATCTCCGTAAGACTTGTCATCACGTCGTTTACGCGATGACGATCTTTGTCTCCTCCCCCCTTTCTGCGACGACGCGGAATGTGAAAAGCTAGACGACCTAAAAGAAGATTGTCGCCGTGACTTATGCTTAGACGATTGGTTGACGGTTTTTTTAATTGCGCCTTATCGCTTGTATTACTCGAATTTTCACTTTTAGGGATTTTCGCTTCCAAACTTTTGATTTGCTGTTTGTAATATCTTTTTTATTTAGATTTGTTTCCGGTTCTGCTTTATTTTCTCTTTTTTTGTTTTTGCTATGCTTATTTTTATTTTCTGT